AACCTAACTGAAACCGTTTCGTTTTTACAAGAGTTTAAACGACTTTATAAAGGTTGCCCGGGCCCGGTATGTTGCCAGAAGTTCGAAGACGTCCCATCCCTTTGGCAGGGTTGCACCACCCAATTTGGATTTTGATTTCGGAAAAAAATTCAATCACTGGTAATTTAGGGTCAATAATTCGATGCCTTCGCCGACTTGAAGAGGTGCTAAGGGAGATGGTGAACGCGGCTAAATCGATGCAAAACCAAGCGCTAGAGGAGAAGTTTGAAGATGCTCGTGTTAAAATCAAGAGAGACATAGTGTTTGCTGCATCGCTGTATCTCTAGATGATCCCTGTGCTCTCTCTCTCTCCTCCCTCTCGATTTTCCATCTCAGGAATTGAAAGCGCGTGATATCACTAGCTGTTGTTCGCTCGTTATCCCCCGGTCGAGTCTCGCGCCATCCGGGTCATGCTTTCTTTATTCCAGTTTTCGTGTTTCTTTTTGTTTTCTTGGCGGTTAATTTAATTTATTCATTGTTACCTTATTATGATTGTTTCTTAGAGAACAGTATGGTCTCAAAGGTTGTTGCCATTGGTTTCGTATTTTATTGAATTTTGTGTAAATAGCTCTTTTCGGCGCATTTCGACGCTGAGTGGGGGGGGGCGTTCTGCACTTTCGCTCCTTCCCATTGTCGTGTTCATTGCTTTACAAGAGTTGACAAGTTGTTCCTGTCAACTTCGATCTCGGATGGCTGGACACGACAGTGTGAAGCAGCGGAAGTGCAGAATGCCCCCCCCCCCCTCTCAAGCCGAACTGCGCCCTCTTTTCTTCTTTATTTTCAGTTGTAATGTATACCCAAGATTTGATACTGCTGTTTCTGGTCCTGTTACTTAGTTGTAATGCTCAGGATCTTCCTGGTATGTTGTTTTTTTGCTGAGTGTTAAATAGTTGTTATGAGAGGTCTTTCTCCAATAAAAATATATTGGACATGAGTTTGGTCTTGATAGGTTCGAGTGTTTTTCTCTCTCATGGAGTACTGGGAGTACTGTAGTATTACTCTCTAAGTCTTCCACGGTCATTTAGCCCTGTTTTATAAGGGATAGGCGGGCATCAAAGTTAATTGTCTGATTAGGCGGGGAGGAAATCACGATTTCTAAAGCGTACCTTATGTAAAGTACAGTCTTGTTCTTGCGGACGCTAGGGCGTTTAAGGAGGGCAGTTTTTGACGCGGAGCCAGTCCGTTCTGCTCCAATAGCGGAATGGCATTCGACCAAAATCGACGCAAATCTGGCGCCGTGCTAAACCTATCCCTCCTGAAATGCCTGGAATCCACAGCGCACAAACCGAATTGAGTTGTCAGAAAATGGAGGTGAGTAGGGGCTGTTTTTGGGCATGGGAGTAGCTTGGCAGATGGCTCATCAGCATCACTGCCAAAAATGGTGTTGGGTTGTATTATTTGGGACTCTATGGTGTTGAATGGCTAGGTCATAGATGTTGTTGTTCTGGGTTATAGGGCTGATTATGGGAGAGGGGGGTTCTTCCAGTTTCTAACTTAAACGACTTCCAGTAGCCCAATGCGTGGTTCTGATGCATTAAAGACGATTTCCGCGATAATCGGGTGGGTGGAGACTCATAACTATTGTGCTTTCATCACTGGTGCGCTCTCCTTTTCTCCTGTTAGAGACCTCCAACGAACACAGTAGTTAAGAGTTTTCGCTATACGGTGGTTGCGGAATATGCTTTTGAATTCAAAGGGAACTTAGTGGAACCTGGTATGTGGCAAGAGAATCGTAATTCACTGCGCTAGTGGCGTCGCGTGCGACATCGCGCCCGCTAATGACGACTATTCCAGGTGGTATTGGTCCAGAATAGACCAAAAATAGACATATGTGTCAACCATGTCCTTGTCTACATGAAATCCGATGCTCCAATCGAAAGGGTAGTGCAACTTGAGGAAACGTCGCGCCCACTGCCGCGAAGCGGCAATTTACGAGTGTCTTGCCCGTCTCCCATTGGAACCGCAGCTAAGAAGGTTAGTCAGAGTAAGGTAGAAGAGATGGGATAATGTCAGTAAGTACTTCATACAAGGATACTTAGACTGGTAGAATCTACCCTGTCCAGCTCAACACAAAAAAGACGTCAGTCAAGAAATATTGCAACCAACTACTGGGTACATGTACCACACTGTTCTTGTATGTTGGAGGGGGGGGGAGCTATGTAGATCACCTGAGAAAAGAGTTGCTCAGCTGTCAAGAATCTGACGAGCATGAGGAAACTCTCATGACATTCTCGCAGCGGGCTCTTCGCTTATGTTTCGCCGGAGTAGATCGCTGGGAGAACCCTATCGGTGTGGTACTTGATCGGCGGTGTCGTACCTTTCTTTGGGAAAATTCCTGTTGCTAGAAAAAATGTCCGGTTGCTGGTTTTTCCTGTTTCGCGCGCATCTTTCCCTCCTATTTAGGTGATGCCGCAAAACTACTACAAAAGTACTATACTTTCGATAGTTGATGAGGAAAGTACACCGCTCCTCTTCCCACCCTCTTCCAATCGCAATTGTTTGCTGTCACGTTTTTTTTTTTGGGGGGGCGGAAAGCAATCCTCAGAAATCTTGGGAAAGCCTTCAAAAATATACCGTTAAGGACTTGAAGACGCGTGAAAAAAAAAAAAAAAAGGCAGGGTGGCATGTGGTACCCCGGCCGCGCGCGGGAGGAGGTTGGCGGCGAGGGTGTCAGAAGAAGGTTTGCGGTGGGAGGATGGTGGTGTACTGACACACGGACCTAATACACTTGCGTAGAACTTGTTGTACATTTGCGATGATGTAACCATGACCTTGGAGTGCTCCAATTGTTCCTCCATTGTGTCAAAATTGTGCTAGCCAGCATCATCAGAGTTACCGAATTTTTCAGCATCCTTTTTTCAATTTGTTCTACATGTTGAACGAGTACAGGGGAAACATCCACAGTTTCAGCTGTGGACCTTGGCTCCGTTGGCTCTGAGTTAGAGCCGTTCGATATCCCACTTGTTGAGTTGGAGAAGGATGCGAAACCTGTTACGACGCTAAACGAGCAATGTAAACGCTTCGTGAGTCATTATAGGTAAGAAGCACAGTAACGCTAACGTAGTTAAGGGGGACCACTCGCCAGTGACTACGTATCCCTTCTCAAGGCTTGGGCTCAGTGGATACTGTGTCTTTGCGGGACTACTCGATGATTCTGGTCGTCTGCGCGCTGAGTCTGAGCCTTTTCGAGGAAGAGATACAGAAGTGCTAGCAACTAGTCCCCAACTAAGTTAGCCTTTTTTTGGTATTCTTTTCCCGTTGGAAAAAGTTTTCCATCCCTCATTCAGGTATTATTGTCGAACATCGGGTATTGCCACATATAATGAGGAGATTCGGATCATTTGCGAGCGATACCGTACCTACTGCTCAGATCGGGTGTACCCGTCTGTCAATCATGTTGGTTGTTCTCAATATTATTTCCCTCCCTAACTCCTTGTTTATTTATTTATTTATTATCGTACCTTTTGTTTACTTTACCTCAAATGTTGATTTCTCCAAGATTTTTGAATATTAGGGTACTTTCCAATTTTTAACTATTCCTTTACCAGATTCGACGTCAAGTCGCTTTCTGGAAGCACTCTGGACTGCCTGCCGGCGCTCAACGAGCTCTTACAACGTGCTATGCTCACTGCAAGGAAACGGATCCTGTGTTGGTTTCTCTTTGAAGAGTTTTTCTTATTATTTCCTGAGGAAATTCGGTTTACTCCCTGATTTTGCTATACCTGGGCTTGAGAACTGATGAAGAGCAAGGAGTGCGCTCCGCAACCGAAACCAGTTGCAAGTAGTGGTTCCATTTGAATGGTTACTCAGCATATCCCTCCCCTAATTTTTGCAAAATCGACGATTTTCTATAACTTCCTTCGAAATAGCCTAGATAGCTTGGAGTTTATATCGTTATATTGAACAGTTCATAATAGTGACCCTTTGGTGCAGGAGCCACCTGATGATCCTCATAAATTTCATCTGAATCCAGAAAGGGCCGAAGGTCGGTTCAGACGTTGAGGAATCCCATACAGGTCTTATTTTGTCGCTCGAGGGAGGTAAGAACCTATATTCGTTCCTGCGAAAAAGATTTTCTGTTGTTGGTTTTTCTCGCACTTCTTCCCTCATCCTCCCTCGACGACCGTCATGATGAAAAGGAGAATTTGAGGAAAGTTTCCCGAAAAAAAGTAGAAGGTTGGGAAAATCGAAAGATATGGTAGGTACGATGAATGTAAAGGGTGGGGGCGGGGGGATTCACAGGAGGGCATTTCGAAAGAGGTATCGTTTGCAATTTTTTATTCAAGCAGTAGGACGTGTCCTGATCTGCGCAACAGCGGATACAACAGCGTCGTAAACCTCTCACTACAACTGTGGGATCCCAACTCAGTATTCACGGGCGAAAGTCAGTAGTGTAGCAGAAAAAAAAATATGAAATAGGAGTCATTTAGGTACCCTCTGTAAATTCAAGAAAAGTTGCAAAGCGGAGGAAAAAGAGGGGAGGCAAATAGTCGATTTTGCTGAATTAATTAGGGGTGGTTTTGGTCTGTAGAGTTAGATTCTTTGGTGAACAACGATGCCAAGACGATGTAGAATAAAATTTAAATTTATTCTACATCGTCTAATTTATTTTAAAATCTAAAAATTAAAATTTAATAAATAAATAAATAAATAAATAAATAAATAAATAATTGACTCTTTCTAGGTGTATAAATGCCTGCGAATGTATCCATCTGCAATGGGTGATGGACTATGAATGCGCTCCTGGAATTCGAGCTCCAGCTGGTCCGAACTGTCAGAGGTGAGACGCACTTGAGAGCGGCAAAGAAAGACCTTGACCAAAAAGACTACGGCTAAACTCCCATTGATTCGAAGAGCAAAAAAAGACCGCCTCGTGGTGCCCTTCAGTTTTTTATGAGATACACTTGTTACAGATCCTCTATTCCCTTTGAATTCCTTTGAACCTGAGTTTTATCGATCATATCAGACAAATGACCATATTTCTCATCGTTTGCCGGGAATTTCTCGATTTTGTTCGGCTTAAGGGGACATTTTGCGCTTGTGCTGGTTTCCTTGCTAATTTATGTTGACCAACAGGTCCCACTTTGGTGAGACTTGTGAACTCTGAGTGATACGGGTGAACCACTTTAGTCACAAGAGTTCATAGGTCTCCACAGGGCAGCCTGTGCGAGCTCTGCTGAGACCATCTGGTGCCCCACTAAGCCGAACTGCGCTAAATTTTTGATTGAGGCTAGAAGAGTACACATCGGACAAGCACTCTCTATTGGGTGGGTTGTATTTCATTCACTATTAGGGTTTTCGCCATTGCTATGGTGTGCCCTGGATGAGGAAATATATTTGCAAAGGGTTAATATAACGCTTGGAGAGCACTCCTAAGATCAGAATAGGATTAAGCTACTTATTGAATCGTGCTCATTTGGACAACAAAGCGGCAATGATTGCCTCATGTCAGCAGTAGCCTTTACTAGTTTAATTTGACAAAAATTTCTATTGTCAACCTGTTAATACAATTCTATTAATATGCTTTGATAATCCATGCATGTTATTCAACGGAGGGGTGCAAAAAAGAAGGCGAGTTTTGCTCTGAATGCTCTCCATGAACGTCGTACAGGGTGATAAGATACATGGAAGACTTGAGTGCATATATTATTTCTCGGATTTTCTTTCCAGGAGCAAATCTTCTCACACTGCCCCAACCGCCCAACTGTCGTGCGAAGATGAAGTGATCCGCCAATGCCGCGAAGCTCAAGACCGTCTATAAGGCACGTCGAACGTGGGGATCCCCAATGGGAGGGGGGAGCGTACTTGACTGTTGAAGGGGAGATGGCGATCGCTGTGTGGAAAACTTTTTCGTTGTCGATTTTCCCTGTTTCACGCGCACTATGCACTCCCCCTCACTACTAGATGAAGGCGCCGCAAAACTACTATTTCCACAACCCGAAAGGGGAGGGTGTTTTCCCGGTGGTGGAAAGGGGTCGTTCCTGAAAAGAAAGTGGTTGAACAAGAGCGCCGAGCCGACTCTTTCCGTTACGAATACCGCCACCCATCCTCCGTCCCCGCCTTGTCGACGCGCTCCCACCCCTTGCTCGTTTCCCCCCTTTCAACCCCTCTCTCTAAGAGCAGCTCGCCTCGCGCTCCCCCCCGCACATTGTTAGCTCCGCTCCACGCTCCTCGCTAGTTCAACCGCGCTCAGTCTGGGAGAAGAAGGGACTTCCCCTACCTCCCATGGCCACCTCATGGATCGTTGCGTCTTGCAGGCTCGGGACGAACCAGAATGATTGAAGCGCGACATGCCCGGCTCAGATCGTTGGCACCGCCCCATCCTCGAACCCCATTCAACACCTCTTCGACTCTGCGACAAGCCCTGAACAGTGCTTCTCGGACCTTAATGTTTCTCTGGTGCGCTTTATGAATACGTGCGGAACCATCAATCAATAGGCACATTAACGGCTGCTTCCCATTCCCTGTCGAGCGTCACCGGGATTCGAGGGAACAGAGCGCAGTTCAAAATCGCTGAACACTTTTTCAAGAGCGCCTGAACGCTTTGTTCAAACGAGGGCTACCTGATTCTGCGGCCCTAAGATCAATCAGACACGTAGCTAGACATTGGTAGATTTAGTACTTATCGAGCTGCTTTATTAATGATCGAGTGGCCTTCACGGACCGTCCCACGTATTGGATTTTCTGCTTCTAGGATGAGTTTGTCAGTTAGTTGTCTTACAGTATTTCATCACTGAATTCTCTCCCTGGACATTCTTAGCTGGGTACCTTGTAATGGCAATCGGGGTCCCACGCCTTGCTCCCTGATCTAACGCCTGAGAGGACACCGAGAATAATGGTCCGTCGTGCACGAAGTACGAAGTGATCAGGTCTGGGCGTTCCTTCCGATAGAGCGAGTTCGAGCCATAGCCCTCAAATCGTTCAAAACCACAACTTCAAGTACGAAGGAGTTGATTCGCTTCCCCGAAGCTCCTTCTCCCCTAGGTTTGGTGAAAATCCCCAGGTTGCCTTCCTCAGAATCTCTTTTACGCAACTTCGAGCGCCGAATGTCCCTCTGGTTGGAACAGGGCCAAAGTTTCTTCTCGTTTCTGCTAAGAGTAGGATATCAAGAAAGGAACCGTGCTTAAGAAAAAGCGTGGATAAAATAAAAGTCTCTGGGTAACCTTCCAAATTCACAAGTTCCCATGATAAACGCTATTCCGGCATCAGGGCACGTTTCGTGGGGGAGAATTTG